ACTGACATCTGTCTGAAACATCTGAAGCCGTGGTCACACCAGGAATGCTGCACTCGTGAAATTCATCCACACAGCAAAGTTGTGACAGGTGCCGTCCAGTGTAGCTTAAAAACAACAGGAAGGTGTTTGGAAATCTGTGTCACACAGATTTAGGTGACTTCACTTCCTGTAGATATCGTTATCTCTGCATAGTCCCTCCAAATAAAGCTCCAGAAATCCAGTTAGAAACCAGAGAAAACAGAGTGACTGATAACGTGCAGATATAAATTAATACAGGACCAAAGGACTCACTGAATCCTTGGCAATATACCTATATTTACTCTTACTTACACACACACACACACACACACACACACACACACACACACCACAAATATATATATATAATTATATATATATGTATGTATGTATGTATGCAGAAAACAAATTAAAACCCAATAATATTTTAGAATCCTTATTATTTATAAATGCATCCTAAATTTGGGATGGACCCTGTATCTTTTACAGGTTCCCACCGTCCTTCTAGCTCAGCACAGATTCACTTTGCCTGCTGTGAATGGATCCACACACTGAGACGACGCCTTTAAAATGACCCGACCTTCCAGCAGTAAAGTTGAGCCATTTTAAAAAAACCACAGGATTCACATTAAAAGTCAGACTCCTGCCGTACAGAGACTCAGGAGAACGGGGGACATCCAGAACTTCCAAGACATTTTGTGTGGTTAAACCTCAAGAGTCCACCTTCCCTCTGCCCCGAGCCGACACCAGCCAATAGCGCGGAGGAGCAGCAGTGACGGACAGCTTCACCGACCGATGAGAGAGAGGAGGAGGGATATGACGTGATTTAAGGACAATCAGCAAAATCAGACGTACAGGACCTGCAGCGTGCAGACCGAAAGCCTCAACCAGTCGCCTGTCTAACCAAACAGTATGCAGCAAATCCTTCTGTATAAAAACTGTAAATACTCAATATCAGTGATACTTGAACTGCGACACACGGACATATTTACATCATATTTTTTGTTAATAAGAATATATGCCTGTGCAAATGTTATGACTATAAGTGTGTGGGCACGAACTGTATGTGCAACAGGTTTGAAACATTGTGAGTTTGACATTATCTAATGGAAAAGAGATATTCTGGTGCTATGTATTTTAATGTGTTTTATGTTGTAAAGACATTATATATATAATATATATATATATATTATATATTATATATATATAATAAATATAAATACACACCATATGAAGTCTGACGGCCCTCGACTTTGTTTCTGTCTCTTGAAGATTTTGGCTTAAATTCCATTTGGAAACAGTTACCTGCCCTTCGTCCTTCTAGCTCCAGGTCAGAGAAAGAGAAATATGAACCATTTGTTGAAAATGTTTTAATGCTGTGTAAAGTCTTAAGTATGGATTAAAAAGTTTTTTGAGGTCACTGCTGACCTTGACCTTGCCTTTTACCCACCAAACAGTCTACTTCAGTTCGATCTCGGGTGCTCACTGAACGTTTTTCAAAGTTTAGAGAAGTTCCCTCGATGTTGTTACGAGATATGCCGTTCAAAGGGCCAAAACCGTGTTTGTGAGGTACCGTTGCCTTTGACCCAAAATCTAATCAGTTCATCTGACGTCCTCGTGAATGTTTGCCAAATTTGAGTTCCTGAAGGTGTCACTGAATATCGTTCCATGAGAATGAATGGACGGATGTGCGAATGGAAACCCCGAAAACAAAATGGCTGCCGCTCTGACTTCGGCCGTCATGGAGGAAATGAAAAAAGAAATGACAATAACAGCTTAAATACTTTAAAGAAAACAGGTTCAGATAAAGTAGAGACAACAATCACTAGAACCTCCTGAACCAAACCTCCTTCTCACCTTCAGTCTCAAACAGTTCAGTCATGACGACAGTGAAAACTCAGACTTTTTACTGAAGAATGAAGAAGAAGTTGTTCAAAATTTACTTGTTTCCTTTCCTCTGCGTCTCAGGAGGATCAAACAGCAAGAGGACACTGAAGTCACACGAAGCACAAGGTAGCGTCAACTCAAGCCTACATAACCAACTTTCCCACTCTGCTCTCTTGATGGTCGGCTGCGCTGAAACTCAAACATCCCCCGCCCGGCCAATCAGGAGGCAGCAGGTGGAGTCATGACAGCTGTCCCAGTTGATCGCCAGGAGCACACAGCAGCTATTCACACATTGGTCTTCTTTTTATGGTGATTTCTTATGTAATAACCTTGGGAGTTGTGCACCGTGGTGATTGAGCTACAGTACACGCTGTGCGGTTGCTACGGAGCCGTATAAAACAGGACACACTTATTTTTATGTTATTGAATCAGCTTTTTTTTTGCCACAATGTTTTCTATTTAAATGTGAAATCATTTGAAAATTCAAACCGCGGTTCTAGCATCTGTATAATCTACTGTACACTTCACTAATAACATCTGCATTCACTCACGCGAAGCGAATAAAAACATTAATAAATTAATAAAACACTTCAATCTACACAAATGGAGTACTATAAGGACAGAAAAACAAGTCTGTTTAGCGAAGAAGAGGAAAAATAAGAACTTTCGTTTTATTATAATATATACTTAATGAAGGGCCTCCATGATATTCTCACATATAAGCTATCAGCCTTTAATATGTAGGGTTCCTGAGAACATCTGTCTTACATTCTGTGATTTCTTTCTCCATCACAGTGAACAGTTCCTTTGGGCCCAAAAGGAAACTTGAGCTCGTATAAATTCTATATATAAATGATCAGGATTTAAAACCAACAGGAAAGTTTAGGATCATAAATCCACCTTCCTCCAGACGGCCAATGACCCAGTGATCCCTGAGTCCGTGCACGTTAGTGACGCGTATCTGTGTGTTGTATTTAGGTTTAGTTGGTCTCATATGTCGAGCATTAACTTGATTCAGGTATTTCTGTTGAAGAAGTTCCAGCAACATCGGCAGTTGTTCTGTGTCGTCTGTGATAATGCAAAAGTAAGAAACAAGGCTGACAAACGTGCTGCACCCGTCGGTTCCTCCCACTGCCCAGCAAACATTAAAGCCCTGCAGGAGAATCAGTCCCTCTTTTAAACTCCCTTCAAAGAGTGTCATTGGTCACGTCAGGAAGTTTAAACAAACACGTTTCATTACAGACAGGAAATCATGAACGAGTCAAGAATCAGCTTTCTCATTTTAGCTTGAAAACAAATAAAAAGTGATTGAATATTTTTCTGTTGATCAATTAATCAGGCTCCAATGTTAAACTCTGGATTTATATTTTATTGGCTTGTTTTTACACTTTATTACTTTCTGCTGATATTTATTTACCGATGCACATTTTGTTTAAAGTTTGACGTGTGTGAGAATACACCTCAGACCTTCAGCCTTCTCTGTTTCCTGACGTTATGTAATCATGTGCTACGACTTGCTGTTATGTCACAAACCTGACCGGTAGATGTGCAGCCAGTGCCATGCTGTGAGGCCGCCTCAGAGGGAGCAGGCCAGGCAGACGGACAGGAAACACCGCGCCTCCTGGTGGACACACGTGAGCACTGCAGGGGCAGCTTTGAAAAATAAAAAGCCCCACATTCAGGAGCTTCCTGTTTTGCTGGGTTTATGTTCAACGCGACCTGAGCAGTTTTTATTTTGTTTAATTAAAAAAGTTTAATTCGTTTTTGGTCCTATGTGATGTCCGGCCAACACGCCTGGTTCAATGCGTGGGAAAACTTTATTTTACCACTTTGATGTTTTGTACAATGACAACATATAAAACACAAATACTGAGGTGAGAACAACAACAGTAAACAAACAGAAGAACAGGTGAGCAGAGTCACACCTGTGGACACCTGAGGGACGATCAAAAGTAAAAGTGACAAAAGAAGAAGAAGAAATGAAGAGCGCCCATCAGATGAGAGGACTGCTGCAAGAGAAAACCAACCAGTCAGTCAGACTGAGTCAGGTTTTATGAGTCTGTGGGGGGGGGGCGGGGGGTAAGGAGAGAGAGAGAGAGAGAGAGCGAGAGAGAGAGATTAGTGCACCTTTCCATAATTGAGTAACGTCTCTTTTATATTGTTGTTGTTGTGGTTGTTGTTTTGTTGTTGTGTTTTGTTGTTTTGTTGTGTTGGTGTTGTTGTGTGTAGTTGTGTTGTGTTGTTGTTGTGTTTGTGTTGTTGTGTTGTTGAGTGTTGTTGTGTGTTGTTGTGTTGAAGTTGTAATGTTGTGTGTGTTGTGTTGTGGGTTGTTGTGTGTTGTTGTGTTGTTGTTTGTGTTGTTTGTGTTGTTTTGTGTTTGTTTGTGTGTGGAGTTGTTGTTGTGTTTTGTTGTTGTTGTGTGTTTTTGTGTGTTGATTGTTGTTGTTGTTGTGTTGTTGTGTTGTTGTTGTTGTGTTGTTGTTGTGTTGTTGTTGTGATTGTTTGTTGTGTTGTTTGTTGTTGTTGTGTTGTTGTTGTTGGGTTGTTGGTTTGTGTTGTTGTTTGTTGTTGTGTTTTGTTGTTGTGTGTTGTTTTGTTTGTGTTGTTGTTGTTTGTTGTTGTTGGTTGTTGGTGTGTTGTTGTTGTTGTGTGTGTTGTGTGATTTTGTTGGTGTTGTTGTTGTTGTTTGTTGTTGTGTTGTTGTTGTTGTTGTTGTTGTTATGTGTTGTTGTGTCTAACATCACAGAGTGCGACGAAACACTGACATAAAATTCTCCAGGTGACGGGACAAAGACCCTGAACTGATTTCTGAACTTTACGACGAGGTTTTGTGTTCGCTGTGTGTTACCTTCAGTCCAGATGTCGGTCCACATGTTGTCCGTCCTGCGTACCGAGCAGCAGCTTGGGCTCGTCCGCTGCTCGGGTACCCCTCCTCCACCTCCAGGTGACACCACCAGCAACGCAGACTTCAGTAGATCAGCAGGCGCTGTGCAGGACGCCAGTTTCGATGGATCTCTCTCTG